AACCTGATGAGTTTGTCTGGTGCCCAAGATCTGAACAGCAACTTCCGTGTCGAAAGAGGGAATTTTTGTTGCAGGATGCCTCCCATTTTGAGACACTTTGATTATCTTTCAATCAGAAATTAATCATGATTTGTTGTAAGTTACTTATGCTACGTTGTTGCTAATAAATGCCATGTGCTTAAATAAAGATTATCCTGCAACCAACATATTTGGGGGATGACAGAGCAGAGTGTCTTGGGTGCTCATAGGGGGGTACTCTTCGGTAATCAAGCATGACAATGGAAATCCATGGAAAATCCACTAGAAATGGAGGTTTATAGCTGGGAAGCCCCCTTTCAATGGAGACATATCAGTCATATCCATTGCCATGTTCACCAGAGGATATATCATAAGGCTGACAGTTACCAGGTGGTGCCCAGCTAAATCGCTAAGTTAGCTAAGTTGGTAAATTGATATTTAACGGGATTTAACCATGAAAAATTGGGATTTAATAGGATGTATAGCTGATTTATGCTGATTTATGTTAGCAAAGGTAGATTCTAAGTCCAATAACTAGGGTTTATGGTAGATATTGACCTAGTTACTATGGTCTCTAAAGTAACTTATAGCTGGGGGGCACCACCTTGTGTATAATTCTCAGAGTATTTCTTGTTCGGGAGAGCGTTTGGGTTCGTGGAGCAGCACTAGCTACAGTAGCATCATGAAAAGTGACGAATATCTATGGCATCACCAAATATGAATATTCCTGTGTATTTAAAAAAAAGTCATCCTGGAGTAGATAGAATGTGTACACATCAAGACTCTTCACCAAATGACACAATTTTCGAACATACTATATTCGATCTACTCCAGGATGATTGAATATATATATATATATACATATATATATGTATATATATATACACTGTTTTATATATATATATATAGATATCAGTTGTATATATATATATCACCCTGCTACTATTATCTAATCATACCTATTTTTATACTATACATATCATGTTAATCCTCAAATGTGTCAGGCTTTTCGGGATCGTCCTGAGGTCAATGGAACGAAGCCAGAGAGTAATGCACCTTGGGGAGGGAGGGATTTCGTTAGAGCCTCCACTTAGAAAAATGGACCGACATATCCATGGACCATGGATACCCATGATTTTGGGACGTTTACCCATTTTTATATGTTTTTTGGGTACTTGGAAGGGTCTAGGTGGGGACATAAATGGGGATTTACCAACAATTTATGTGTAATCATGTGGATAGCATGGGATGTACAACCAACAATATGGTATTGCTCTCTCCTATTGCTCTACGGCAATCTCCCAAAGCTTTCCCCATGTTTAGATGAATTTTCCCAAACATGTTCCCATATGGGTTTGTTGTTGGTTTGAAAATAGTATATACCCCCCCTCCCGGCTATGACCATCAAATAGATGGGACAATGGTGAGGAACCATCAAAATTCGGGTAGTTGTGTAGTTTGTTTTGTTTCCAGGCAACATCATCTCTGCATATTTACATGATGTGGTAAACCCAAAACCACAAACCATCCCCACTATTATAGGTAGCATCTATTACTATCGCACACAGGGGCCAAGATGGACAAATGGTCAACGACTCTGTGAAGGAGTTTTCCATCTCTGTGTAGCTGATCCATCCCGATGGCAGTCTCCGGTCAGTTAAGTAGCTCCATGTTCACAAGCCGAAGTATCAATATGTAGCTTGGGCAATTACATATCTATAACAAAGGTATACCCTCTGGTAATTTAACGTAGCTATTGAAAATGGCCATTTATAGTGAGTTTTCCCATTAAAAATGGTGATTTTCCATAGCTATGTTAAATTACCAGAGGGTATCCCAGTAGATCCCCATGAGTCACATATCAGTCACATATGACCTATCGTATCAATTTAGGGTCCAGAAAGACCGATCCCATCCTGAAGATAGATTGTTACAGGTATGAAACTATAGACATGTTTTACCATATGATATCCAAGTTGATAAACGTATACTCATATGATATCCCAAAGATATACTTATATAACCATTTAACATCATATAATCATATACTTTTTTTACCATATGATATCCATTTTTCAGCACAACTTGGGGGTCCATGTTTGAAGATTCTTTTCAGGTCATGTCTCAACTTTGTCCTGGAGCTGTGATCCAAGTTCTTGCCCTAAGATCTCAGGGAGTGTCCCTTGGCGCATGCTGGGCGTGCTGGCACGTGCCGTTTGGCAGCGCATGCGCTGGAAGCCAACTGCCTGGTTCAAAGTATGTTCAAAAGCTATATCTTTGATGATCAGATGTGAAAAACTTTTGAGATCATAAAAAATGTATATGGTTGTACTAGACATACTGCGGATGGTTGCGAAATCCTGCACCACCAATTTTGTATGGTATTTCAACCCAAACAAAAGAATGGGATGTTTACCATCTACCAACTGGCGATTCGGATTTCGCTGGCCCATGGCTAGTGGCATTACGGTACAACCTTGATTTGGGAGGGATGATACCTGGAAGTCTCTACAGGATGGGGCCCCCAGTCGAGCTCGCGTTCAGTTGGTGAACACAAGTGGCTGAATTCAATGGTTTATGGTAGATATTACTATGCTTAATGGGGATTAATGGTTTATAAACCAACTTATAACTGGAAGGCCCCATCCTGTACCCAGTTCATGGCATTGTGACTGCGGCTCAAAAAACGCCTTAATTTTTTGCAGGGGATCCAAGGTCAGCTGCGCTACGATGGTTTCTTTCTATTGAAGCCATCTCTGATTGCTTGTTGGAACTTCATGTTGGAACTGTTTGCTAGTTAAATAGCTATGAAATCCCCATGTTTGCGAGTCTTTCAGCATGTTAAAGCATCATGTTTGATAGTAAACCCCTCATGTTTGCTCCGTAAACATCCCCATGGAACTTCCGAAAGCGTCAGGTATGAGAACTTCTTTTGGTGGCCCGTTGGGACCCCAGTGGGTTGGAAAATTTCATGATACCTCAGAATGGGATAAAAGTGAATTGAATACTTAGTCATTACGAGTATGGGTGATGTATATATATATATTTAATGAGTTTATAAGTACTACCAGTACTTTTATTTGATGAATACTTCCGACCAAAGACTCACAGTCCATTTCTTTGGATTTTCGCTATACCTGTGGTTTTGCCCCAATCAAAATGGCCATGAAATCGCGCGCAAAATTATGATTAACAGGTGGATTCAGGGTATATCCATTGCGCGAAAAACACACATATCACACTGGTGGTGGTATACAAACCCAAATTACCATGTTGGTGGCTGTACAATGTTGTGTATATATATATACATACATATATACATACATATATACATAGATATCCCATCATATCCCACCATACTCCATGATATGTTGCATGATATCCCCATGATTTTCCATGCGAAAAACAGTAAATCCAAAACATTGGAAGCACCGGACGTTTCTCGTCGCGGTTTCTGGTCGCGGTTTCGTTCAACCAAAATGGCTCTTTGAAGTAAAGTTTAGGATGAAGAAAAAACATTCGGTACCCACTGGAAAACTAGATATTGGTCAGCAGAAACTACAAGAAATGGACTTGTGGAAACTGTTAAACTTAAGTGTCTTAAACTTATATAAAGTGTCCAAAGTGGATAGAGGACTCTAACCATTAAGAACAAGAATATCATCGACTTTGGATAACATATGCATTAAATGATTGTCATTTTGCTTCGAAAAAATAGTCACAATCTCGGCTGATTTAAGGCGTTCTCGATGTGCTGCATTTTCTTCGTTGGTTTCCGTCTTCTGAGTGTCTACATCCTCTGGAGAAAGAGTCGCTACGTTCTATAGATTCCTCCCCGGTCGGGCGGCGCGGTACTGGGACTGTGACATCACAATGGTAGCCCTGTGTTCTTTCTATGTTTTTCTGGTTTTTAACCATCAACGACATGGGGATATAGATAGATATCATTGATAAAGGATGGTTGGTTGATGATTACATGGGGTTAAGCAAACCAATACTAATTGGGGATTATCACAATCCATTATGGGAAATCACTATAAAGCAACCAGTATCATGGAATGATGAAGCCTGGGTTTAGGTCACACTATTCACTTGGATAAAAGCTGCCCGTGGTGCCTGCGGTGCCTGTGCCCGTGCTGGGCAGTACTGCGGCAGTACCGCGCGCCCGAGCCACAATCTTCTTTTTGAGCGGTTTGAGCGCTGCACCAACGAAAAGCAGCTCACTCTGCAGGGAGTTTCTCTTTTTCTTCGGACCTGAACAGAGGGAGACTAGATTAATCAGCTATAATCAGCTAGTTGCAGAAGGATTTGATCTCATGTAAACATGCAAAATGGTGCAAGTGAACGATTTCAATGGACCAATGCAGCTGCTTGTTGTTTGGGATTTTCAAAATGTGTCTCAAAGACCTTCTGGCAATCAAGCGTGGCTAGCTGGAAAATCCCCGAACTAAATGAGAGGTTGTAATGAAAGATTGTCCACACTTGGGAATTTTCCAGCAAGCTACGTTTGATTACCGGAGGGTATGTGTTGCATCCATTTGCATCAGTTCCGGTGCTACAAAAAAGTTGACTCATTGTTGTGTCATGGCTCAACCACCCAGCGTCCTTGCACAGGAAAGCTGTTTTGATGAATGGCATGGAGTTTAAAAGGATTTACAGTAGATGGGATTTGGTGGAGGAGTTTCATGGGATTGGTGATTGGTGAATATACCCTCAATTGATATACTGGTTGGTGGTTTCAAACATGTTTTATTTTCCATTTCATTTATGGGATGTCATCCGCCAACCATTGACGAACTCCATGATTTTTCAAGATGGGCACAGCCAGCACCACCAACCAGGTTATCATTAACCATCATTAACCATCATTAACCATATATTAACCATCATTAACATGGAACATCACCATTTTTCAATGGTGATCTACACAACCAGTTTCCCATGGCCATGGACTACCGGTAAAAACATCAGGGCCGAGGTCTTCCGGTCAATGCCTGGAGATCTCCAGTTGCTCGTTGCTTACGGACAATTCTGGTTGTTGAAACCCACACTTTGGGCTATGTATGTATATATATATATTGAAAGAACATCGCCACTGGATCTCACAAAAACTCAAAATACAAAGAACACAAACATGGCGATTTTCAAAGTGTTGTTGCTTAATCTCAATCCTTCATTTCAGTGAGTTTCAGAGTTGGTGCCTTTTGCGGGTAGTGCATCTGCCTCTCCCGTCTTGGGCCTGTCTTGGGCTTCGACGATGAACTCTTTTCCGGAGTGAGCAATTTGTTGCCACATCGAAAACTACTGAAACTATCAACTGGTAGGTATGCTACCTATTATGATAGGAGCTCTAAAATGAGTAGTAAATAGGGTTTTACTACCTAATATTAGCATTTGTGTTTGATCAAATGGTTGATTGTGGGATTTGATGTGGGAACAACCAGTAGAACCAATTGAACCAATTACTGTACTGGTTACTGTATACTGTACACAAATAGTTGAGAAGGTGTCTACTAATGACACACTGGAGCCACTTATAATTGCTTATGAGGACTTTTGTTACCAATTATGGGAATCTCTGTCAACATTGTCAACCGACCACCAGAAGCAATTGTCTACCAGGTTTTGGACGATGCTTTTTATTTTGAGTACTGTACCCCTGGAAGTGCTAAATGACTTTTACAAAGAACTAAATCATCCATGGGGTTGCAGGGACCTGTATCAGTTATAAGATGTTGTAAGTCAGTTATAACTCCATTTGTAGAATGATAACCCTATAACCATCCGCAATCATCACCATATATGATGGGTAAATGGCTTAAACTTAAACTTTATCAAATCCAGAAGAAACTAACAGACATTCGAAATCATTCGCCGCATTGCGACATTTTCTGAGACGGGGATGGTCCTCGTTGCATGGTTTCCGACTAATTGGCTGCTCTCACACGCTGGGGTAAGCCGCGCCATTTTCAGTGGTCAACGGTAAGAGACTGTTGGCCTGTGCTGAAGATCTTTCAGATGAGGAATGCCTGTCCCTGAAGCAACACTTGAGGGTGGAGCGGAAAGGCGGAAAGATCTTTCGCATCTTCTTTAGTGGAGAACATCAATGACCACAGGAATTGGACGATTCAATGTGATTCCAAGCTGCAAAATCGTCGGGCCTCGGAACTGAAATCTCTCCATCAGCCTCTGACCAAACATCTTGCAAAACTTCATAGAAACATTAGGAAACATTAGAGATATTAAGCAGAAGCTTGTCAGTATGAAGTGAATTAGTTATTGTGGTCCTTGCGCCGATTATTGTTTACTATTGTATACTTGTTTTTCGACTTCAGGTTTTTGCAATCTACGAAGTCATGTGTTGTGCCTCAGTTTAAATCTAAGGTGACCAGTATTCAAACGAAAGGTCGGAGGCGTCAAATGTGAGAATTATGTTCAGCGCATGTAGAAAAAAAGAAGACAACCTGATGCGACGACTAAGGGTTAAGATATCAAATTGAAGAACTTGACACTCCCAGATGCCAGACAAAGGGCTCTGATCAACCCTATCGGATTGAGGATTCCGATGCTCTTTGATGCCAGCCTAAAAATGCAAACAAAGCTTGCAGGCAAAAAACAGCTAGCTTCCGCTTGAATGTTCTAGACGGTTTGCCAATTATCCTAAAGCACATATAATCGGCGTACTTTAAAAAAACGCAGCGCGTGAGGTTGTAGTATGGATGTAAAAAAAGGTTTGCAATACATAAGCCCAAATGTTAATAAATGTAGATGAAATTTGGCATTACTTGCAATATAAGCAGAGACAGTTATGTTGGTTCGAGCGCTGATGGTTGTATACTAGTGTAGAGTTGCTTTTGAATGATTTTCAGTAACTGACCTATCTCCCAAAGCTTCCGACTGCAGGTTTTTGTACTTTAAGAAGTCATGTGTTGTGCCTCGGTTCAAGTCTAAGGTGAACAGTCTTCAAATTAAAGGTAGGAGGCATGAAATGCGAGAATCATGTTCAGCGCATGTAGAAAAGAAGAAGACAACCTGTCGAAGTCTAAGGTAGACAGTCTTCAAATTAAAGATGGGAGGCATCAAATGTGAGAATTATGTTCAGCGCATGTAGAAAAGAAGAAGACAACCTGATGCCAAGATTAAGGGTTAACATATCGAATTGATGATTCTGAGACTCCCAGATGCCAGACAAAGGGCTTCGATCAATCCGATCGGATTGAGGATTCCGATGCTCCTGGGTGCCAGCCTAAAAATGCAAACAAAGCTTGCAGACAAAAAAAACAGCTAGCAAACCGTTTCTAGCACATCCGAAAGCGCATGGCTTTGTATAAAGTACAACGGAAATTGATAAGCATTATCAATACATAAGTGCCAGCGTTAAAAAAATTTGAAGGAAATGTGGCATGTTTGCGATTAAAAAAATTGCATTGTGATTCAACGGTTCACAACTCTTGCTGTCAAAAACTTCACACAAACACCTTAGAAACAGAAATTATGAGATTTGTATGAAAATTGGTTGCAAACTTTCATTTGATAGCTGTTCGGCTCGGAGCACCAGATGCCACAGAGCCACGCAGTTTGATTGCCGAAGTTTCAAGGCTCACATAAAGAATGTCAGCGTTCTTGCCCCAACTGACGTTGTTGCGTTGCAAGATTGGTGCTGTGTCAGGCATACATGATTTGATATGGCTGCAAAGCTCCCAAAGTGAAAGTTCCCAAACAGGCGCGTACTTGGATCTATTTGTGTTAGAAATCGTTTGGCGGTTATTTGTTGTAGAGACCGCATTGTTGCGCACTAGGCAATGTTAAATATCTTGATCCCTTTGATTTTGTGAGGCACGTGGTGCACAATTGCGGAGAGCAAGTTGAAAGGAGCTCGCAGCCACAGTGGCCTGATGCCAAAACAAAGGAGTAATATCTCCACACCAGGGAGCATCGGAATCCCCAATCCGATAGGGTTGGTCAGAGCCCCAAGTCTGACAACAAGGAACATCGGAATCCTAAATCCGACAGGGTTGGCCAGAGCCCCGAGTCTGGCAACAAGGAACATCGGAATCCTCAATCCGACATGGTTGGCCAGAGCCCCGAGTCTGGCAACAAGGAACATCGGAATCCTCAATCCGACAGGGTTACCTGGCGCCCTGAAGCCAGATGGTATGAACGTTGAAACATCTAGCAAACTTAAAGACAAAAAGCACAACCATGATTTGAGTCGCAGTAGCTATAAGAGATGTAGTCAATGCCGCAGACGTGCATACGCACTAGCCTGTGTTGGAGATGCCAATCAACTGAATCGATATCAAGCATGGGCCATGCCATTTTTGACAATGTTGGAGCGCGACATACGTTTACAAAACGAGCGTTTTTCCACCGTCATGTCAAGAATGGGAGGCTATCTAAGAAGTTTTTTTTCCTACTTCAGAATGCAGGAGCTTGTTGGCAACATGTCGTTTAGTACCTCGAACAAACCCGAACAGTGAAGATATGTGTTCATGCGCGCTATGTCTGTCTCCACGAAATCAGATAGATCAGTCACCTCCTACTGTAACATGTAACAACAGTGGATCACAACGAACAAATTCAGCAGGGGTATCTATTCTTAAACCCTCGCAACAAAAATGCAAAAACACCTGGAAAAGAAGTCGTGGGGCGAGGAAGAGGCAACTGGAAGGGTGCCGGGAAACCTCAATAAAGGAACATGCTTTTGTTTGTGTCGCTGGGTGGGACGCTCGCGAAAGAAAAAAGCACGAATTGTTACGTTGACAATTACAAAAGTGCAAAAGTTTTTCCAAGCAGCAATGGGGACATTCAAAGAAGCCGCAGACAAGGGAATTAGAAAAATTGTATGGCGAAACAAACATAGGTATACTACCGTGTTCAAGATTCCAAC